GGGGGCTGTGTATGTGTCTGTGGCTTGCTTGGTGTGTGTTGAACGGAGGCAGTGCTCCGGATGAGGTCCTGTGATCGACCACGTCTTCTGTCCTGCTCACTCCGTCTCCTGCCCTCCTCTTTGCTGCAGCACCGACTATCCTCACTGATGTTTCTCCGGAGTCAAAGGTGATGGAGGAGGAAATCTTTGGACCGGTCCTCCCCATTCTGACCGTGAAGAACGTGGACGAAGCCATTGAGTTCATCAACCGTCGGGAGAAGCCCCTTGCCCTGTACGTCTTCTCCAACAACAAGAAGGTGGGTCTGGGCTGTGCTCCCTCACGGAGGCATCTCTGCGCAGTTTGATCCTGAACGTGGCCAGCCCCAGGCACGGCTCCCCCCAGGGCCCGTGTCGACTCCTCTTTGCTTGTGAATCGTAGCGTTTGCCTCACGGGGGACCACGAGTGTCCCGAGAGCTGTTGGAGGCTCCCAGTCTCCTGGTTCTGTTGTGCCAGCTCAGGAATTTAGGTCAGGGCTTTGCCCTGACACAACAGCCCCAGGCAGTTCGGGTGGGAGGGCTGTGGAGCACCCTGGGCTCCGGCTGATGCGCAGCAGCCTCCGACCTGTCCCGCTGAGATGGAGCCTTTTCACTTCGTGTCTGTTCCAGCTGGGTGGATCTTGTGCTTAAGTAATGTAAACCTGGCCTCTCTCAAGGGACAAAGCACAGCCTGTCCCCCCCACAAAGGGGGATGCAAGCATCACCTTGACACCCACCTGCTCTGGTAAATGCCATGGTGTTGGTGGCCCGTCTTGATTTCCCTCTGTTCTGTGCCATCTCTCATTCGTGGTAGCTGACCAGACGGGTGATATCGGAGACCTCCAGTGGCGGCATGACAGCCAATGACATCTTCAAGCACTCTGTGGTTCCGGATCTGCCCTTCGGCGGTGTGGGTAAGTCCCTGCTCCATCCCGTACACCTGGTTTCAGTCTCCCAGCAGCAGCTTCTGACCCAGGTGCCGTCTCGCCCGCTTGGCAGTTCAGGAACCTTCAGCTGCATTTTCCCATTATTTTCACTGGTGGATTCCTTTGTAAAAAGGCTCATTAGTGGTTGGAGCAGTGTTGGTGCCAGTGGGAGAGGAAAACCCTCTGGCACATCTGTCTGCAGCTCCAGTCCTCCTGTGCCGGGGCGTGGGATGAAGTTGCCTGTGGCCAAGCAGCTGGTTGAGTTTCCACGGTCACTGTCAGGCTCATGGCTTTGTGGCCGAGACAGCCTGGCTGTGGGTAGAGGGCTGAGATCTTGGGTGTTTCTGATGGCAGGTTATGTCCCACTGCTTGAAATAATAGACCCTGTTGCTCCTGTCCCCGACCCCAGTGTAAATTTTGTGGGAGAAGCAGGACTGGCCCTGGGGAGGAGAGGGCTGGTGCCATTAACATTTCAAGGGTGGATGCACACAACCAGCCTGAGCACCAGTTCAAGGCAGTGAGCAGGTCCTCACTTATTTCTGGGTAGTTATTAAAGCTGCTCTTTGCTTCTCTGCCCTTGGGGAGCAGAGCAGCTGCTCCAGGTGTGAGAAGCACCGCGACCAAGCTTTCCCTGTGTCCTGAGGGCTGCCACACAGAATTTAAGAAATGCAACTGTCACCATGCATGGTGTGACCTGCCTGGGTTGTGTCCCTCAGGCAACAGCGGGATAGGCACCTACCATGGCAAGGTAGACCTTCTCCCACCGCCGCGCCTGCTTGATCAGGGACCTGAAGATGGAGGTTGTGAACAAACTCCGGTACCCACCTGGCAGCCAGAAGAAGGTGGATTGGGCCAAGTTCTTCCTCTTGAAGCGGTTTAACAAGGGCCAAATTGGACTGGTCATCTTCGCCCTGCTGGGGATTGTGGCAGCGGTGGTGGCAAAGGTGAGCTTTGGCTCTCTGCTGTCCGCGTGAGTGCATGTTCCCAGCTCTGTCCCCTGAGCCCCACCTGGTCTCAGCCTCCATCGCCCTGTTGCCTCGGGCTCTGCTCCCTCCCTGTGGGACTCAGCCTTGTTTCTGTGCCTCTCCAGATGGTGTCCCCTGGATGAGAGGGGTGATCAGCCGTCAGCAGCACACCGGACCTGTAACCCGCCACTCACTCCTTGCAGTCCTAGTGCTGAACATTTTTTTGCTGCAATTTCTTTTCTTCCAAGGCAGCCAATGCGCTGAAGAGGTAGAAGCAAATGAAACGCACCTAAAGCAGAGAAGCTCCGAGCTGGAGGCTCCGGCTCCTGCTGAAACGTGGGAATCGATCCAGACCTACACCATTGGTCATGCCTCAGCAGTGAGTGGCAGCACGTAGGAGGAGGCAGCATCTGCCCTGCTTTGCAAACAGGAGCCCATCTAAAAGCTCTTGGGAACGGGGGAATCGTTTGTCACAAGGGTATCAACAGGCTCAGTAACGACTGGCTTTGTTTTATCTACGTAACGTCTCATGTGATCCCCATAGAAAGCTGTCTCATACCAGCAATAAGCCTAACAAAATGTGGGTCTTATTGATGGGGACAGTCCAGGCTGGTTGTCCCCAGCAGCCTGCCCAGAGCAGAGGGAAAGAGCCTCTAAGAACCTGCAGCATCCCATCCTTGAAAGGACTCAAGACCGAACGGGTGATGTCTTGTTGCAGGGGAAACCACCTTTAGCCATCCAAAGTGTGCAAAGGCTACCTGAGGTGACAGCAGAGGCTTTTTGAGCTGTGGCCGCACTCTGCTCCAAGGACTCGAGGAGTGCCAGGGACCACTGCACTGCTGGTGCGCTGCATTTGGGGCTGCTGGGGGCAATGACAGGGGCATTGCTGCAACCAGAGTCCCAGGTCTGGGGAAGTCCTTGGCCAGAGTGGCTGAGCAGCCAGCCATCTCGTCTGTAATTGAATTTCAATGTTTTTATTGATTTACTGGTAGTATTTTACCTCCAGACTTGTAACTGAAAGCTGACCTTGAGCCTTGCTGAATAAAACCTTTGTTTTACTGTGAAGGCCACCTGGGGCAGAGCAGGACCCATGTGTCCCAGCCTCCTGCACGGGCTGCAGCCCCCAGCGTCAGATGTTTCCCTGCTCCAGCCTGAGCCCTGCCCTCAGCCTCCACCCAAAGGAGCCAGCTCGAGTCCAGCTGGGTTTATTCTTTATTTGGCATTTGTCACGGAGCAGTGGTGTGAGCCGGGCTGTGCTCGGCTCCGGTTGGCGGGTGATAGCCGGCAGCACGGGCTGGGGGGGGGTTACCCGCACGTTCGGTTCTGCGTCGGGCAGCCCAGAGCAGCATTTTGGGTGTTGGAGCAGCTGCGGGGCCCATTCCCGAGCGATGTCTGAGCAGATGCTGCCAAATGCTGATGGGGGCCCTTTGGCTCCCATGGGACAGGCATGTGCTGGATTCTTTCGCTGGCCAGTCTGTGCTTTGTACGTCCATCCGTCAAGAGGGGCTTTCACCCCCAAAGCAAAGTCCCCAGAGTCCCTGGTGTTAGTCAGTGTTTGCTGGTCGTCAGCTTTATGACAATGCCGAGCGCAAGTACTGCGACGGCTGCAGCCACTGCCAGCGCGCGCCGGATGATCAGCTCCTTGGTGGCCACGGCGGTGGCCGGAGGGGACGTGGCAGGCGTGGCTTCCTGGGGCTCCAGCTGGTACGTCGGTCCCTCTATCCTGGTGATGCCTGTGAGCATGACGCCGTTCTGCGCATCCACTCCCGCTGCAAGAGAACGGGGCAGCGTCGCTGAGGGCTTTTGGGGGGATTGAGGTGTTTCTTGGGAGGGTTTTGTCTGAGGTCTGAAAGCACATTACGAGCAGCCCAGAGCATGGAGATGCCCAGCCCTCAATGGAGCTTTGGTGGGACCTGGTGACTGCAAGGTGAGAACTGCCCAGGGTGCCCCATCCCTCCAGGTCATCCCCCTGCCAGCCTCCGTCACCCTCCCGAGCCCACCCTTGTAATTACTCTTTTCCCAGTAACTGAGGGCATCACCAGCACTGCGCTGCACCCCCATTTCCTGGGCTTGTTCCTGGCTTATGTGACTCCTTGGGGACCCTTTCCACACCCAAACCCAGCACCGCGCGCAGTGCCCGGCTCCCGCATCCCGCCGTGTGCAGCTCCTGGCCATACCTACGCACCCCCGCACTGCCATGGCGGGGGGGTAATCGTGGGGCGGTGGGGCTGGCCCCACACCAGAGTGAAGCGCCTTGCAGGAGGGTTCGGGGCCCGGGTTCAGCTCTTCCGGCAGAGGCTGGGTCACTCCTGCGCGGTGCTGAGCCTGGGGGAGGGAACGTGCTGGGTTTAGCTGGCAGTGCATGGTGTGGGAAATCCCCACCGAGCAGAGCCAACATGTTGCCTCTCACGGGGTTTGTCTGGCTGGAAATGGCACTGTGTAGCTGAAAGATGCCCAAAATGAGAGATGCTGGCTGGTGGAAACCCTGGAGCTGTTGGGGCACAAGGTGATGCTCAGGGCTGCAGGGTTGAGGTAGCCTCGGTCACCCCGTCTGCTTTGTGCTTCATGTCCCCAACCAAGGGTGGCACCAGGCGCAGAGGAAAACCTTGAGGCCATTGAGTGCACGTGTGGGAGGGAACCGAGTACAGGGACATGGCTGCGGTCACGGGAGCACTGGGTTTTGCTGGGGGCACTGGAGAACAGCCCTGGGCAGCACTGGCCCGTGGGATCAAGCCCGTGATGCTGAGTCATCCCGCTGCGATCCCAGCCAAGGCACTGAGGACCTTCCCACTGGCAGGGCGCGATGCTGTGGGCGCGCGGGTTACCTCCTCGGCCGCCTTCCTCCAGTCCATACGGGAGATGTAGGCGATGAAGCAGGTGCAGAGGATGAAGACGGAGACGAGCATGCTGAGCCAGAGGCCTGCAGAGGGCACGCCGGTGTGAGCTGGGTGCCATGGCCGGAGCAAACCCAACTGAGATGGCATCTCGGGACAGTGAGTCAAGAAAGGGGATGTCACTGAGGTCAGCAGGGACACGGGGATGGGGCACCCACACGTGGGTGCCTGCTGCGGGGCTGCCCAGCAGACCTGGCAGTGGTTGCTTTTTCCCAGTATAATTAAAAGCTCTCAGTAGTTGCAGGGGCCACCCCAGTGTGTCCAGTCCCCAGCCAGGTAGAAGGGCAGAGCCAGGTGAGAGAGTCATGGCGAGCCATCGGTGGAGCTGGGGGGAGCCGCATCTACCCGCGGGGGATTTGGGGGCACGCAGAGCTGCATGCCCGGGGGTGGGTACCTATGACGCCGATCCTGGCCACGAAGAGCAGCACGGCTCCCAGGGGCAGACCCACACCATAGTAGCTCACGGCGTTGAGGATGGCACCGAATTTCTGCTTGCCTATGCCTCTGAGCACCCCGCTGCAGGTGCCCTGCCGGGGAGAGGGAGAGGGGCTGGGGCCAGGGCCGGGAGCGCCGCCTTGGCCAGATTCGGGGCTCTGCCGCTGCCTGGGGGCTGGTGAACCAGCCTGGTGATGAAACAGCTCCCCGCCTCTGCCCGGTTATTCCTGTGTCCTTGCCCGGTCCTGTGGGTCAGCATTTCTTTGTGCACTTGGTGTTTTCTAAGGGGTGACCCCAGGAGCTCTGCAGGGTCCCAGTGCATGTGCCGGTGCCCACCCGCAGCCTGAGGGACCCCCAACTGACCGACCTGCGATTCTGCTGCTCAGCACCGAGGTCCCCTACCAAAAGTAGCAGCATCCCCAGGGACTTACACACATGGCTTCAAACAAGTGGAAGACAATGTAGACAGGTATGACCCAGGCCACCAAGTCAACGATCTCCCTGGGGACAGAGAAGAGCCAATGATCGCTTTTGGGAACCAACCTCTGCACGCTGGGGCCGGGAGCCGGCGGCACTCACTTGTCGCTGGTGAAGATGTATCCCAGCATGTCCTTTGTGGCAGCTAAAATGACCCCCACAGCTATGCAAAAAACCCCTGAAAAACAGAGCAAAGTGCTGAGCCTGGCCCGGCCGTGACGGGGAGCTCGGGAGCAGCCAAAGGGAGAGAGCAGGGGACACCGGTGTGTGCCGCGGGCAAAGAACTACAAACGTTCCCTGCTCCTGCTGTGCCTGGAAGGAGCCCCGGCAAAGGCTTCCTGGCGCGCGGGCTGCCTGACCTGTGCAGAGCAGGCTGGTGGAGGAGGATCTCTTGGCCGTCTCGACGTCGCCAGCGCCCAGCGCGTTCCCCACCTGCACGCTGGCGGCCCTGCCGAGCCCCCAGGGGGTCTGTAAACACAGGGCTGAGGCTCGCATGTGCATCAGGGTAACGGGGCCATCGCAGAGAGCGGAATAACCACCCAGCAGAGAGGGAGACAGAGTTCAGGATTTAATTTAAAACATCTCCGTAGGAGGGATAGGCAGGAGGAGGGAGAGGCTTAAGCGCAGAGGGGGAAGATGGAGATTTGCTGGAGCTGATTTTTGCTGGGTGTCTGTACTGGACTGTCCCTAGGGAGCCCTGGTCGGAAATAATAACCCCCAGCCCTTACCATGAAAGCGACAACGGACACCTCGTAGATGATGGACTGGGCAGAGAGCTCTATGACGCTCAGCAGGCCTGGGGGAGAGGAGCGGGTCAGCTCTGGGTTCAGGCGCCCGGTGGAGAGCCGCTCTCAGCCCCCACGACTGCCGTGGATGCCGCTCTGGGTCACAACTCCCCCTCTCCACTGACCTATCAAGAAGCTCCCGATTTCGTAGGTCCACCACTCGATGCACGTCATGAGCATGCTGGGGACAGCCAGGGAGGTGAAGCTGTCCCACTCCAGCAGGCACTCGCTGGACCAGCCTGCAGAGAGAAGAAATGTCACCTGATGGATGACCAGACTGGCCATGTTACATCCTCGAGAGCACCCGAGGCAGCTGGAGGTGCCATTCCTGTTTGCAGAGCCACCAGGACAATGCTCCTCAGCTCCATAGGACCTCCAGCAGCAGAGCGTGCATGTACGAGCTCTGCTGATGCCATCCTATGGGCCGCAGAGCGGTGCAACCCTCAGCTCATTCCTCCCAGAGCAGAGTGTCTAAGGACAACCTCGTGCCTGTGTCTGTGCTCATCCGGCTTCGGGCCTGAACCCTACAAAGCCTCAGCAGAAAGTCTCATTTCTCCAGAATTAATGTTTACTGCCCAGTGCGGTGCTCTGCCAACGCTTGCGCATGATGTGCTGCCACCAAAGCAGCACAGCGTTCCCGGGGCGTACCGGGCTGAGGTTAATATTTCACCATCAGGACTAACAGAATTCACTTGATAGAAGTGGTGGAAGATTCATGAACACTCATGTAAAGCGGGACCCAGAGGGAGATGCCCTTACCTCCCCAGGTCTTCACGTGGAGTTTCTTGCCTATAATATACAGGAACAAGAAAACGGTTTGTGAATACTGAGCAATGGTGTTGGCCCAGGCAGAGCCCCTGGAAAGGAAATGAGAAAGGTTGTCGGCATCCTGCTCACGCCTCCCCGGCTTGGGGTGCCAGAGCGTAACGTCCCGCCATGCCCCTGCAAGCGCCGGATGCTCGGCCGCGCCTGGTGGTGCTGACGTCCTTGAAAAGTCCCTTGCCGTTGCCAGGTGTTGCGTTTTCCCCTCCGTGGGACGTGGGCGCTACTCACGTGATGCCCCAGTGGAGCACGTAGAGGAAGATGCAGTTTGTGATCACGTTGACGACGTTGCCAATGATCCCACTCAGCACCAGCGGCCACATGATCATCTGCAAAGAGGAGGAGATGGGGGCTACGGCACCTTCACAAAAGCTTCGGGAGAGAGGTGTGAAGGTCCCTGCCAGCCCTGTGCTCAGCGGCTTTCCCAGCCAAAAAATAAGCTTCTGATGATGTCGCCTGCTTGGAAAATGAGTGTGTTGGAGGTAAATCCCTGACGAGGGGAAGTGTGAAGGGAGGTCCATCAGGCAGATGGATGCAACTGGCTGTGGGATGGGGTGATCTCCAGGGTCAGAGCTGCTCCGGGGCACCTGGGCAGTGGTGGGGATAAAAGCTGTCTTGCCACCGGGAACAGTGAGCACAAAAACCCCAGGTGCGTGGTCGAGGGGAGCCCTGGGCCGGGCTGAACCGGGTGAGGCTGACCCCTCCCGGTGGGTGCGAGGGCAGCAGGACCCACCTGGTTCTGCAGGTATCTTGTCTCCAGGTTATACAGAAAAACCGCCTGAAAAGGAAATTGGTGGATGAGATGAGGCCAGGACTGAGCAGGGGCTGTGCTGCTGTGGTAGAAAATAGGAGCAGGATGGCCGGTCCCCGTGTGTGGCCAGCATCCAGGGTGCCCACAGGGACTCACCGGGAGAGCAGGGACAAACGCCATCACGTAGCGCTGGGTTAACCTGGGGGGGCACGAGAGGTACGGTCAGCGAGGGGCCATGGCCACCGTCCCCCCAGCCCTGCCATGCCAGGGAGGGACGAGGCAGTGGTGTCTGGGCCACAGGACCACCCGACCTGGAGACCTCGGGGTCCTGGCGGATAAGGAGCAGGAACTGCTCGATGTTGATGAGGATGGCACAGCAGGGAAAGCAGCAGAGCAGGAGGATGAGGGTGGCACGCTGCAGGATCACCCCCACGCGCAGCAGGTTCTTGCTGCCATAGGTCTGCAAGGCGAGAGGACAGTGAGCTCTGCTGCGCTGGCAGCACGCTGGTGCTGGGGGGGACAGGGACCCCACAGAGCATGGAGCAGCCCTGACCACCCGGGAAGGATTTGGTATTTTAAGGGGAGCACAGAGCTCCCTGTTATGGGGGACAAGCTTCACAGGTGCAGCCGGGGTGCAGTGCAGCACCTGGGCAGCATCAGCTGATGCCGGAAAACCCCGTGTCTCCAGGACAAGCACCAGCATCTCGTACCCACCTGCGATATCAAGGTGTCACATGCTGAAGACAAACCATAACCTACAGAGATGGCAGTAACATTTATAACCTGGAAACAGGAGATTAAAAAAAAAAAAGAGCATATGAGCATTTTAGGTAGGGAGAGGGGCTAAAAGGAAAAGCGGGAGTCTGAAATCTCCTCTGTCCTTGTCCGCCTCCGTTCCCACATCCCATCCCAGCGTCAGCTGGTGGGAGCTGGTGCCTGGCGGCGGGGCAGCCCCCGGGAATGCTTACAGCGATGGCCAGCGTGACAGAGGCCAGCTCGACCTTGCCCAGGTGGCCGCAGAATATGGAGCTGACGAGATGTATCAGGAAGATCAGCAGCTGGATCAGGATCTAAGTGTGGGGAAGAGGAGAGGCGAAGGTCAGAGACGGAGGTGATCAGAGGCGGCCGTTCTGGGGGGAGATGTCCAGCTGAGTGCATATAACCAGTCAAGCAACCCCATCCCCCTGAAATGTGAGGTGAAGCTGATCTGAGGTTTCAAGCCCCTTGACAGGTGTTTAGCAGCACTCCAGGTCCGTCTTCTCCGGGAGCTCTTGGAGGTTTTATGTCAGCTGGGCTCCGCTGGCTGAGGGACCCACTCCCCAGGGTGTCTGCGGCATTGGGCTGCGGTTGCAGCCACCCCTGCGCGCCAGCGCTCTCCTCCCGGGGTCCTTACCAGCGGCCCCGCCAGCACCAGCAGCTTCTTTGCATCCTCCCAAAAGTTGCCCGGGACCAGGCGCTGAAGCCAGCGGCGTTTCTTCCCACAGCTGCCGGGTGCGAGATCGTGCCGGCCGGTGGCCATCGCCTCGCTGAAGCCGTTCTCCTCGGGGAGGTTCGCCTGCTTCATGCTGCTGCTCTGCCAGGGGAGTGAAACAACCCTCTTCCTCCGCGCTCTGTTAAAATCACCCTGCCAGGGTGAGCAATGTGTAACCACAGTGGGGTGAACTTCAGCCGGGGCCGGCCAAGCCAACCGCATGCTCCCTGCTGTCGGCAGCTGCGCCGGCGATAGGAAGTGCAGGCAGTGGGTCAGGGCAGGGCACGGAGCTGGAGAGCCCAGTGAGGGTCCTGTGCACCACTGTAAGCAGCGCGGAAGGGCCCGGTCGTGCGGTGCAAAGTGCTTGCTGCCTGCCCCAAGCCAGTGTAGGGACTGAGTCTTCCCAAATCGCTCCCGAAAGCCCTCCTACCTCTCTCCTGCTTTGCCGCAGCTCTGCCGGCTGGTGGGCTGGAGGGTCATCCTCCTCTTCCAGCAGCGATGGAGGATTCATGGGTCCGTGTGCGGTCTCTGGTGAGCTGCCGCCGGCAGTGGCGGGGCTGCTGCCCGTCTCGGCCCCTCTCATCGCAGCGCGGCGGCGGCCAAGACAAGCCGGCCCC